TACTAAAGGGATGTAACTGAAACTGTGACATGCGAACTAGATAAATAAAGTTTTCGATTCGTATATCACGTGAAAAGGCCGGGGCGTACAACGGCCGAAACGTCGTGAATTTAATAAAGATGAGGACAGCACTCGGAACACTGTAAATAGTGTAAATAGAATAAAGATGCCATGAATACCGTATTTAAAATAACGAATGAATAATTTGATCCATTTTAGTCTTTATTATATTTAATAAAACAAACGCAATGTCAAGCTTGTAAATGTATTTTTGGCTGAAGGTTTCTTATGGTTAATTTTTCGTAAATACTTTTCAACATTTTTTTTTATTGCAATCTTAAAAAATACTTTATTCTTTCATTAAGGTCAAGACCAAGCGGCAAAAGTATGTTTCAGGCTTCAACAAAAATATTCAGGCTATCTGTGTTGGGTTTTGGATCAACTACTTATATATCCTGGTCAATAGTGCATTATGATTAGTAAAGTCTATTATATTTTCCTGACGGTAATTAGGACTTTTAGCCATGAATATAACATATCTCATATATATATATATATATATATATATATATATATATATATATATATATATATATATATATATATATATATATATATGTGTGTGTGTGTGTGTGTGTGTGTGTGTATAGGTATATACATACACACATATATATATATATATACACACACATATATATATGTGTGTATATATATATCTTTTATATATATCTTTTATATACACACAGACACACACACACACACACACACACACATATATATATATATATATATATATATATATATATATATATATATAATTATTTATTTAAAAATATGATTCCAACGCCACATAAGAGTTCTCATGTTTCAAAACAAGAGCTTCAATATAACTATTTGAATTAAATTGAATTAAAGTACCAAGCTCTGTTCCATCTTCAAGCGAAATCTTTTGTGGAATCAAAAAAAAAATCGCTTGAAGATGGAACAGAGCTTGATACTTTAATTCAATTTAATTCAATTAATTATATTGAAGTTTTCTGCTCTTGTTTTGAAGCATGAGAACTCTTATGTAGCGTTGGAATCATATTTTTAAATAAATAATTATATTTATGCTCTACTTTTGTATCGACCACTATTTTTTAAAATAATAAAAAAAAATACTAAAGAACTTTGGATTATTTACCTAACGAGTTCTTTTCCTATTTTCTATATATTTTACACACACACACACACACACACAAACACACACACAAAATATATATATATATATATATGAAGGAATTTTGAAAAAAAACAAACAAAAATCCTTAAATGTAGTTAAAATGAAAGAAATGTCGACGTCTGACGTTTCGGTTTAATAAACCTTTTTCAAGACAATATTCATCAAAATACAATTCAGTTCAATATGATAAAATACGATGGACATAAAAACACAATATATCTATATATATATATATATATATATATATATATATATATATGTATATAAAGGAAAGGACAACAGGAAATCTGTACTTTTAGCCGACGCGTTTCAATGTGGACGTTTTCAAGGTAAAAAACGAAATGAATTTATTGAAACAAATTATCTCTAAACAGCAAATAAAATGTTAGGAACTAGAAGAATTTAGAAATGGTATTTTATATTCATATGATGAACTGAAACATTACATCAATTCCTTTATGTTTTTATATTCTTATGGTCAACTGAAAAATTACGTCAATTACTTCATTTTATCCCAATATCATCTTTCCCAAGCCAACGTACACAACAAATACACATCAAGAAATACATATCAAGATGTATATACTGAGAAATAAAAAGAACGGTTGACTTCGTCAACACAAAAATATAAACTATAAATTAATTGATGTAATTTGGCAGTTGAGCCTGTGAATCTAAAATAGCGTTTCTAAATTCTTCAAGTAGCTAACGACATTTTGCTAACTGTTTATTGATACTGTTTATTAAATTCATTTCCTGCCTTGAAAGAGTCCATATTAGAGGAAATGCGTCGGCTAAAATTACAGTTTTTCTAGTGTCTTCTTCCTTAAAACATGTATTTTCCTACAGGATAATTCTGAGAAATCTTTTAATTTATCTCATTCGCAGACAATACCGTTGTTTTTAGAATTAGCTTGACATTGAAAAATGCTCAATTGAAAATGTGTGTGTGTATTTAGACAGCATTGAATACGACAGACGCTTTGAAGGTGCTTTGATTTAGTTTTTTATACAATTTCGCATGTGATCTAATACTTTTTTTCTTTTCAGACGATAAATTCTATAAAAACTGTCCGAATGTTTTTTTTTCCGCGCGCTTTCGGATATACATTTTAAATAAGAAAGAGTTTGTTGCATGTATATATTTATATGATGTTTTCATTTTTATAAACACGGTCAAAATATTGTGTCCATGTTCATAGTTGACATTATTGAGTGTTGGTTTTTTGTTTTATCAATAAGGCTTCTATTATTTTTAGCCTCTTTTTGCATGTAGATGATGCTATAATATTTATGTTGTTAACAAGTATGTTACGAATAGGGTCCAGTAGGTCCCCATGAGTATTTAAATGAGACCTAATTGAGCTATGATCAGAAAGCTATAGTGTTAGTCTTCGTGTTAAACATGTTGTAGTATGGAAAATTCGGATAGTTTTTATGTAATTTATCATCTGAAAAGAAAAAAAATAGATCACATGAGAAATTATACAAAATCTAAATCAAAGCCCCTTGCCTGTCGTATTCAATGAAATGTGCATATATATATATATATATATATATATATATATATATATATATATATATATATAATTATTTATTTAAAAAATGATTCCAAATCGCGACATAAGAGGTCTCATGTTTCAAAACAAGAGCCGAAAACTTCAATATAATTATTTGAATTAAATTGAGTTAAAGTAAGCTCTGTTCCATCTTCAAGCGAAATTTTTTTTGGGAATAACGTATTTCTGAAATTTACGTGTTTTAATAATTGAAATCAAAATTTCCATGGTAACAGCTAGGGCGAATTGTTTAAATTGTGTAGGCGTGTGTTGGGTGTTAATAATAAGTATCAGTATAGAGTTACTTTCATAGATGTCAAGTCAGGGAAAGGTGGGGGTGTACATAAAGTCAGAAATAATAAATGTAGAGAAGTGTAACCCTAGATTCTTGTACGAGATAAGAAGGTGGACATTAACAAAATAGAAAATCATCAGCAAAAATTAAATCATATTTGATGTTATGTACACTCAAATAATGGGATCGTCCTGGGTAAGACGATAAACTACATCCAGCAGCAAGGCCTCTAATCAGGAGGTTTTGAGGAGGGTGGAACCATCTCTTAATTGCTGCTGTTCCCAGATCCACCCTGACCTGTTAGGGCCCCAGCTATGGGCAAATAGTTAACTATTACCAGCAATACTTTTTTTTGCCCCAAATCATTACCAGCAATACAATTTGGAAGGGAAAATATTACGAGAAACAGATATTTGACGAAACAAAATATTACCAGCAATAAAATTTTTTCTCGGCATTAAATAACCTATTGAGATTGATATGCCGTAAAACAAAATAAACCAAACCAAATAATGGGAGCTAAATGTCAGTTGGAAACAACCCATGTCCATTGAATATAATAACCTACCAAACGTTGCGAACACATTCCGTGAAAGGCGAAATAAATAAGCTGTGTATTAGCTTATACCATGGAGCTCAAATTATTAGAAAAGATCAAGAGCTAGACGTAGAAGAAAACTTTATCGATCAACTCTTCGACGATACCAGAGTTTGACAAAAAGAACATGATAAAGCTATGTATTTAACAAATTGTTGGATAGATGTGGTCAGTAGCGTTCGTTTCAGGGTTATAAGATAGATAGATAGATAGATAGATAGATAGATAGATAGATAGATAATCAATAGACTGTGATAGATGTTAGACATTTCCATGACGGTCGTCCTTGAGTATTGAATCTAGGGGTTGGCAGTGAATATTTCGGAGACAGTAGGAACGCGTAGTGAAGGTTCGCAGTGGATATCACAGCAGAGTGTAGTTCATCCTTCTCCTGGTCACCTTTGGTCCTTCTGGTAGACGAAACAAGATGGCCGCCTTTATACACGACGAATACAGTGTTAGGCGGCTTCTGATTGGTCAACCTTCCATTGGTCGATTATAAAGGGAAATAAGTCATTCTGACTTGCTCACTAGTTATACGTTCATATATACCCAAAAAACCGTAACAGCCCCCCTTATTTTGGGTATATATGGAATTTTATTTTTGATAGTTGATATATTAGCCGCTGTGATTTTGGTTTTGTGCGTATTACTTGGACGTCAGTAGACGTTTTGGCCAACATCAAAAAGTAAGTGAGATTTTGGTTCCTTGCTCTTCTTTGCATTTGTTGTTTTAAAAGAACTGTTTTGTGTGGGATTACCCTACCGCTATGGCGGAGGGGACCCAGGAAAAAGAGCCTTTGGCCACCACTTTAACGGCACCATCCGTTTGGGGACCCATCAGAAAGAACAAGGGTCCCGAGTATTATGAAACACAGAAGCAGCAATTAAAGGACTTCATCAAGAAGGATGAGCTGGTTCCGGTGCCTTCAGTCATGGAGACTGTGGCAACCAGAACAATTTCATTTCTAACGGTGGACATTAAACAAAAAGTTCACAGGGTGAATAGAGAACAGATGGAGGAAGCCCTTAAAACACTGAACATTGGGGCAAAGGTCCTGGCACGCAGGTCGAATGCGTGCTGGGACATCTTGTTGCCCACTGAGGAGGCAGCCAAAGCATTGGCTGGCTGCACCCTCTCGACAAAGTCTCTGAAGCTCCAGACAGAGTATATGGGCACAAGAAAGACGGGGATCTTGCTACATGATGTGCCCATGTACATTACCGAGGATCAAGTGGGCGGATTTTTTGCGCATTATGGACCTGTGGAGGGGGGTGTCAGCAGTCCGAAGCAAGGTGGGGATTGCCACTGGTGACTTGGAAGTCATGGTGACATTGAACCGCCAGGGCTTCAAGGACATCCCCAACACAATTCTCTGCAGGGAGAGAAAGATCTACGTCGTGGTTGAAGGACGCCGTCCCTGTTGTTGGTTCTGTGGAGAGGTAGGACATCTGGCCAAGTTATGCCCAACTAAGAAGCCGGTCTCCAAGGAAAAACAGGGGACAGTATCTACCCCGGTGGCGCCAGCCGAGGAGCGGAAGAAGACGGCTAACTCTGAGTGGTCGGAGGTGGTAAGGAAGAAGACAAAAGGAGCAGCTACACCTCCCAAACAGCAGCAGCCACAGCAACAGCAGCAGTCGCAGGAGCAGCAGCAGAAGCAACAGCAGAAGCAACAACAGCAGAAGCAACAGCCGCCTCAGCAGCAGCAGAAGCAACAGCAGAAGCAACAACAGCAGCAGCAACAGCCGCCTCAGCAGCAGCAGAAGCAACAACAGCAGCAGCAACAGCCGCCTCTGCAGCAGCAGCAACAACAACAGGAACAGCAGCAGCAGAAGCAGAAAAATGCAGTAGCCTTGGAAGACCAGGAAGAACAGCAGGTGGCAAAAAAAGCCAAACCTGCCAGTCCCAACAAAGAGGCAAACCAAAAGAACCTGCAGCCGCAACAGATGGAGGTGGAAGAAATGCCTCCTCCTAGTGCTTCCAAAGAGGAAGAGGCTTCAAAACAAAACAGTACTGAGGTAGCAGGGTCCCAAGCCCTCCCGGCATCCCAGGACCAGGTGGAATCCCAAGTTGAAAGTCGTCCCTCCTCCCCTTCTAGGGTTTCTTCACCTCCCTTCAACCTCTTCCGTTGCTTCGGTAACTACCCCACCTGGTACTTCCACCCTCTGCCCACACCTCCGCCTATCTCCCCTCTCCCAGATAAGAGAAAAAAAGAAGAGGAAATTCTTTCCTGCGACATTAGATTTGTTAGATTGTCCCACGTTCCACTGATCGAAGGCTATTTGGACCCCAAACTTGTTTTTTGACTGGATGGCGTTAGATTGTCAGGCCTAGAATGGCTGGTTACTGGAAGTTCAGTCTGTCTTTACTGGACAGGCGGGACTTCCGGGAGGAGTTTTAACTAGTTTAGTGCAACGTGAACTAGTGGAGCGGTTATTGGGAATAAATGATGGGATAGACTTAAATATAGGATTAGGTACTTCACGAATTTCAGCAAACAGCTCGCCCCCGATAGAGCTAGAAGGTGAAGACGCTTAAGGCTAGTCTTTCCCCGGGCGGTGACTTATCCCCGTGAGATAGCCTTAGATAGGGTCGCCGTGGAGCGTCTGAATAGCGAGCGCCTACATGGGCCAGGTAATTAGACATAGGTTAAGCAAGATGTCTTCCGAAGCGGTGAACATGGGCGCAGACTTGCGCAAGGAAGAGGTCCGTCGAGGGTCCGATCGGTACATTCGTGAAGTCAAAACCCCGGAGGGGCATACTCTTCGGGCCACTGATGACATGTGCGAGGGTTTCGGAGGCATTTCGACGGCCTGTTTACCAAGGAGACTGGTCTTCGTGACGACGAGTTTCTCAGCTATTTGTCTGACTTTCCTCGGCTTTCGCCGATTGAAGCGGCTAGCTGCGAGGGAGAAATCATGGAGGGCGAAGTCTACGCGGCATTGAAGAAAATCTGCAGAGGCAAGTCGCCCAGTCTGCATGGTTCACCCTATGTATTGTACTTGAGGCTGTCGCACATCTTTGTCCCGATTTTGATAGTTGTATTCAACAACTGGTTCCGACCGGTTCTCCAGGGGTGTGATAACGCTGTTTAAAAAGTGCAAGGATGTTGGGGAAAACTAGATGATTAGTTGGGCCCAGCAACTTGTTCTGCTAAATACAGAGTTAAAAATTTTTAATAAGATCCTGCATAAGGTCGCGCTGATCCATTTAGATCAGTCCCCGGCATTTGATAGGGTTGACCATCGCTACCTTGCGGCGGACCTGCAGACCGCTGGATTCACACCCGACTTCTGCCGCTGGATTAGCCTCCTGTATCGCTCCCCAGTGCTGTGGTACATGTGAACGGGAAGCTGTCGCGCGCTTTTGAGCTGTCTAGGTCGTTTCGTCAGGGTTGTCCACTGTCGCCGCTACTTTATGCTTTGGCGGTGGAGCCTCTCCTTCGCCGGCTGAGGGACAGAGCCTTCAGTCCGGCCCTACATGGAATCGCCGTTCCTGGAGGGGTTCGAGCCAGGGTTTCCGCGTACGCCAATGACGTATCTGCTTTCGTGTCGTTCCGCAGCGACATTGAGGCAGTACTGAAGGCGCTTGATCGGTAGGAAAAGGTGACAGGGGCCAAGATTAATAGCGACAAGTCGTCCGGCTTCCGGTTAGGTGCCTGGAAGGAAGTCGATCTTCCGGCTCCCTTCAGTTGGACGGATGGCCCTGTCCGCATTCTTGGAGTATGGTTTGGACCCGACCTCCAGCTGGAGAAAAATTGGTCTGAAGTACGAGCAAAGGTCGACGCGGCCGGTCAGATTGGGTGTCGACAGAGGTTGTCCTTGAAGGGCATGGCGGAGGTGTGTGCCACATACGTTTTCCCTATTGTCCGTACTTCCTCTCTGTAAATACCATAAGAAGCCGCTCGAGCGCTCGCTATCCTTCATTTTGTGGAGGGGACGCAAGCATCGACAAAGGAGTCTGTGCACAACGTCCGTGAAATGGGGGCCTGGGAATGCCGCACTTGGTGAGCCACAAACTCGCCTCGAGGTTGGCTTTCCTACGCTGCGCATTGACAGGAGATTCGATTATGGCGGGGATTTCTTGCTATCAGAGCACCCATCTCGTGCGTTGAGCGCCATCGTAAACCCCGGGTTCAATCGGATTTCTTTTCGCGAGTGTCGGACTGCTTTGTTGGCTGTTCCTTGGTCCAGTGACCTTTAACGGCCTAGGAAGGTCTTCTATTGTTATTTAGTTGAGGGGTCGCGAAGGATCCTCTACGTGAGTGGTTCGACTTGTCGGAAGAGGAGTTTCGCTCTTTCTGGTCTTGGGCGCCAGCGGCGGATTATCTCAGTAACCCTGAGTTTTCGCTTACCTGGTGATTGGCTCGGAATTGGCTGCCTCTCATTGACAAGGTCTTCATATGGGGCTTGGTGGATTTGCCAGACTGTGAATGGTGTGGTCTTGATTTAGAAGAAACGGCTTTGTACGCCTTCTACCATTGTCCCCGGGTCCGCCCCTTATGGGACCATGTCGGCGAGTTGACGGCTCGTCTCGCTCGCGAAAAGCCCGTGCTCATTGATCGCGCATACCCGTGTGACAATGCATCGCCCCCGTATTCCGGGGTGAAACTAATGGTGTTTCTGACGCTGCTGGCCACGGCCCGAATGGTGATTTGGACGACGCGAAAGGAGGAAGTCTTGCGAGGCAACCGTCTTTCTCATCAGGATCTAATCCGATTCTTTGAGCATCAGCTCAAGATGAAGATTAGAACTGATAGAAAATTCTTGCATTCGACAGTCTTTAGCGAAAGGTGGTTCGTTTGAACGGGGCTAGCCTTGATTTTCTCTTTTAGGTCAACCTGCGTCACATGGAGGTGGTTTCCTGTGGAGCCCTCCCCCTGGTTAGGTTAGACAAGCCTTTGTGTACCTAATTAATGTGAGTAAGTGTTGTTCCCGGCATGTTCCCGGATGTATCTTTGGTTATGATCCAAGTTGAGATTCCCAACCTCCCCAGTTTCTTTTGGCCCCTTTTTATATCTACTGGGTCAGCTTTTTCTTTCCCATGTCCGTATATATTTTCTCCTTTTCCCACTCCCTTAGTGAGACAACTTCTTGATTTTGTCCAATGGGCAGAATACAGAGGCCTCTCTCTTTCTTGAGGGTTGGACGGGCCCTACTAACATCAGTCATGTTTAGTTCACTTTGTGGTCATGTTTAGTTTGTTATTGGGTTCATCTCCCTTCCCTCTCATTTTTTCATCTTTAAAATTGTATATATAGTTTATTATCATTAAATTTTTATGGCATGTGACTCGTTTCGTAGGTTCCCCTTTAGAGGATGTGGTATTATGGTGTTTGGAGAATTGATTGGTGACGGACAAGTTTTTATGGTGAATGGGCAAATTGCAATGAGTGAATGGGTTGTGAATCGGATTAACTAGGTATAAGTTAGTGAAGACCAGCCTCCTTTTTTTTCGGCCTTGTGCCATAATTGTATTTTTTATACAATAAATATCCATCACCTTTAGATAGTTGTCATCATCTCTTCGTAATAGTCCTCATAGGCATGATCCTTTTGCAATTGTCATCATAGTCATCTTCATTTCGTAATAATCATTATCTTTACTTAAAAATCATCCTTTTCAAGGTTGAAGATGTTTTCCGTTTCTTTTCTGTTTATTTATCTCTTTCCTTTCATTCTTCTTATTTGTTTAATTCTTAAATTTCTTCCCCCACTAACTGCCAGTCTTTCTTTTTATTTTTTTATTTTTTTGGTGATTTTTTTCTTTCCTATCTTTTCTCCTTCGTATTTTCCCTTTCGATTTTCCTGTCTATATTTCCTGTGCTTTTGAAAATCTCTACTCTAAAACGGAACTACTTCATCACTTCCGATCCAGATGACTATGCGCAGTTGAGTATGTCGGCAACAGCCAGAAAGAAAAGGGGGTCGAGCGAAAGGGCAGCAATTAGAGGATCGGGATGGGTCTTACTATCAGCACTATTCCTTGGGGTTTGCAAGGATGATGTATGAGACGTGAAAAGCAAGAGGAAAATATCTACGCAGTTGATCACCGACTTTGACCGGGGGTAATGGATGATACCGTATCTACCTGGTGATTAATGGCCAACGATGTCACTAGCTTCTGACTTCTCTTTATTCCGAGAGATTTAAAATAAAAATAAAAATATAAAAATTCAACAAAGTATAAATCCTTCGGAAATGTAATTTCTTTTTTATTCTATTTTATTCTTTTCTTCGCAAAATGAAATAACGAGCCAAAACAAAAAAAAAATACTAAAATCAAAATGAGCTGGCTTTCTCCAAATATAGGTATCAAGAATTGTTCAGATTAGTGACCTCATTCTTTTATTTGCTATCATTTTCATCACGATTCTGCCAAATCATTCTAAGGGCTTCCGCGTAAAAATAATGTTTCTTTTCCCACAATTCTTAAGCTAGCGTTCACCGGCCGAAACATTGTCATTGAAACAGTTCGTGGCAGAATCACAAAATATATCTATAAATATGTTCTTTATAAAGAATTAATGGATTTATTTTTAATCTGAAATTTTTACTACTTTAAATTTTTAATGGATACCCGTAGACTTCCGTTTTTACGTGTACACTCAAGAGAAAATTTAAATATTCTTTGCTAAGTTTTCTCGAGAACTCAAGCAGGTAGTCCTAATAAACACTGTTAAAAAACGGGGCGTCCACGCAAATACGTGTATCCACAAAAATAACGATATATTCTTAGCCACAAAACCACAAGCATATTTGCACCCAAATAGGTTCAAACGTATTACGCCATGTTAGGTTAGGTTGCTTGTAATGACGAATCCAAATTTATTAACTGGAATATTTTCATTATTAGATTGTTAAATATAATTTCTTGTTATATAGGAATAAAGTGTCGCTGCCGACACTGGAGTTTGAACACAGATCACCAGAGAGCAAATACATTCAATCCCATTTTGAATAAGTAGATCACGTGATGGTAAAATACATGTATATATAGGAATTGGCGTGGCGTTTAAGTGATCATTCTCCATATTACTTCGGAAGTCTGCTTGTCAAACTCTCAGCCTCCAGGTAAAGAGGAACCCAGACGACGTTATGCTGAGGGGCAGAGGCTCGTCTGTGGTGGTAGACAGCTATCCGACCCCGTTTTACGGGATCTACGGGGAACTTTTGACCGGGCCTACGGGCTCAGATACCCTACACTTAACTTCGCCTTGTACCGCATCCGACAGCGTGGGGCGGTAGGTGAATATCTCACTCTCCGAATTATTTCGGAAGTGTGCTTGTCAAATTCTCGACCTCCGGGCAGAGAGGAACCCAGACGAGGTTATGCAATAAAATAAACTTGGCCTTGTGCTGCATCCGACCACCTAGTGCGGTTAGTGAATATCATCATATTTTTCGAGCAAGTATTATCGAGCAAGTACTATTAGTGCGAGTGTTATTCGAAGACCACTGGCACCAGTATTGTTCAACGGCATTACTAAAGTTGCATCTGCGATTACAAAGTCTCTAACAAGCATTACGAAAATGACAACGAGTATTCGTTGACATTACAAAAGTGGCAACGAGTGTTCGTTGACATCACAAGTTTTTTTTTAATCATATTTCTGTTGCTTGTTTGCTCATGGCAGACAAAGTAAATAAAACTGCAGGACTTCCTAAACACTGCAATAAAGTAAAGCAAGAAGAAATGACTATCAATTGTAAGAAGACAGAATATATGGTCGTTAGCAAAATGGTCAGCCGAAGATACGATTTACGGATTGGAGATGTCAAGCAAGTACGTAAATGTAACTATCTGGGGAGTTTTATCACAGACGATATGACACCGTAATCGATGGCGCATTCCAATAGCGAAAGATATTTTCCCAACCAAGTGAAAACAAATATTAGGAACGTTTCTGTTGTCTGAAGTTTTTACCGTTCTACCACCACTGAGCAGACCCCCTGATACATGGTTCTTCTCTCAAGGATCCGTCTTGTCTTGAACATCTACTGGAACTAGCTTTCCCCAGACCTCAAGAGGAATATATATACGATCTATTACTAAAGATGCTGGACAAATGGTCGGTTCATGGTACCGTTCCAGTTGTTATCTGAATCCCCTGGCAATACTCTATCTTTACTATCTGGGCTGGAGCTGCACAATCCACACGCGTCTGTCTAGACAGAGTTCAAAAGCGTCTAAACGGATTTGTGGGAGATGAATTATTTCCCTACCTACAATTCCTTTTCCTGAAGATGAAACGTCGCTAGCCTCTATCTATTCTATTGCTATCTCCATGGCATATGTTCTGACGAACTGTATTTCTTGGTCCGTCTAGCCCTGACCTTTTCAGTTGGGACCCACCATGCCTCGTACACAAGGATGGGTCATCTTCATTCCGTTCGAATTCCATTAATAAAGAAGTTTCTTTCGTACAGTTTCATTTCCAATAATTGCTGCTTTGTGGAACAAACTTCCTGCAGACTGTTTTTCCATCACAGCAATCTTAACCTCTTCAAGTCTAAGGTTAGTCTAAGTAGCGACAGGTTTTGGCTTAAGAAGCAGTTTCCCTGATGGGAGAAGTTATAAAAGTTCAATTCCTGTCAGAAGCACGATTTATTTCAATCCTTGCCGATTTTTTATTTCATTTTAAGAAGAAAAAAAACAGGCTTAACAAGTTAAACACGTGTACCGACTAAAAATAATAATAAAAAAAATTATAGTAATAAGAAATATATATATACTAGCTTAAAATCGGCCCTAATGGACTTTGATTTTTATTACAATCTGGTCTTCTGTTGGCGAAAATTTCTTTTTGTGAGACATATGGCTGCCGTATGCGATAGGGAACAATAAACTGCATATGAACTCAAAATTGATCGCTGCATTTAAATATTGCTTGAATTTTTAAGCTTACCTTTTAAAAGTTCAACTATAATTCTGCTGTCTCCACTTAATTTAAAGATATTATGATGTACGTAGGTACTTACTTTCCGCGCAAGTGATTATTTTTTTATTTCATGGGTAACTTTCGCTGGATTTCGCAATTAATTTCAATTATTCCCAAATTTATTCCCAAGTTATAAAAAAATTTTATCGAAAAAAATAATTCGTCCGAAAAAATCACGTAAAATTAGCGAAAAAACAATTGCAGTAAGGAAAACTTGTGTAACATATGAGCTACTGAAAGCTAGAGTTGTGTCCCTTTAATTGAAAAAAGTGTGACGCAGAGACACACTGACAGTCGCATTTATTTTATATATATATATATATATATATATATATATATATATATATATATATATATATATATATATATATATATATTTCGGTCGAGTTAGCTCGAACATTTTTAAATTGATCAGTTGTTCTTTCTTCTTCTTCTTCTTCTTCTTCTTCTTCTTCTTCTTCTTCTTCTTCTTTTCATTATTCTTATTATTATTACTATCACGGTCCTGCATTGAGGTCAGAAGATCATTAGGGAGTCATTCTGTGTCATAAACTCGTCTTGCTCAATGGCTAGGTGTCCAGAACCGTAGACCGAACGCGATTTCTTGTTTCGCTTGCCTGTGTTCGCGAAAAATTGTAGAAATATCAGTGATTCATAGAGTTGCGATTGTGTGTGGGGGAGTACGCACCCACGCGCATGTGTGAAGCTTGTGATAAAGAAGCATTAATTCGTTAAATTGTCAATACTTTATTCTTATATAACATCCATTTTTATTCTCCCAATTTATGCTTATTTCAAAGAGTTCATGGAATATTGATTACAACCCCCACGGATAATACAAAAGAGGTCACTGTCTTAAGTTTAGTTTAATATAGGAAAGTGGAAAATAAAGAATATTGTACTAGAGTTACGCAAGATGGGCTTAAGCTAATTTAACAATTAATTATTGTAAATCCTTGATTTTAGCTGAGCGAAATAACAAAAATCTAACACTGTGTGTGTGCGTGCGTGTGTGTGTGTGTGTGTGTGTGTGTGTGTGTGTGTGTGTGTGTGTGTGTGTGTGTGTGTGTGTGTGTGTGTGTGTGTGTTGAGAAAACGTAGCGTTTCAGACAGTGCGTATAAATTACTCTTGATCAGTATGTTTAATTATATAAATATTTTTTAAAATTATTATGTGTGGTATCATCTTGCTAGAAAGTAATTTTAAGTGCCTAATTACTAAGTCCACTTGGGGTCTATATATAAAAAGGTCACTGTAGGAGAGTTAGCTATGTACATTTGGGATTTTTTCATTTAGATTGAGAGTTGCAGATGATATGCACAAACTCTACGCAAAGTAATCTTGTGTAACTCTGAGATGTTGATGTGTCCAGAAATTTTACTCATATGATTTTCGGTACCTTGGTTAAAGTAAGTTATTTCCATTTCAAGCAATTTTTTTTAGAATAACGTATTTTAAATTTACGTGTTTTAATAATTAAAATCAAAATTTCCATGGTAAAACAGCTAGGGCGAATTGTTTAAATTGTAGGCATGTTGGGTGTTAATAATAAGTATCAGTATAGAGTTACTTTCATAAAAGATGTCGTCAAGGAAAGGTGGGGGGTGTACATAAAGTCAGAAATAATAAATGTAGAGAAGTGTAACCTCAGATTCTTTGTAATGAGATAAGAAGGTGGACGATTAACAAAATAGAAAAATCATCAGCAAAATTAAATCATATTTGATAAAGTTATGTACACTTTAAATAATGGGATCAATCCTGGGTAAGACGATAAACTACATCCAGCAAAGGCCTCTAATAAGGAGGTTTTGAGGAGGGTGGAACCATTGTTAATTGGCTGCTGTTCCCAGATCCACCCTGACCTATTAGGGCCCCAGCTATGGGCAAATAGTTAAATTACCAGCAATACTTTTTTTTGCCCCAAATCATTACCAGCAAATACAATTTGGAAGGAAAAATACATGAGAAACAGATATTGACGAAACAAATATTACCAACAATAAATTTTTCTCGGCATTAAATAACCTAATGAGATTGATATGTCAAACAAAAATAAACCAAACCAAATAATGGGAGCTAAATGTCAGTTGGAACAACCCATGTCCATTGAATATAATAACCCAACAAACGTTGCGAACACATTCCGTGAAAGGCGAAATAAATAAGCTGTGTATTAGCTTATACGCTATGGAGCTCAAAATTATTAGAAAAAGATCAAGAGCTGAACGTGAAGAAAACTTTTTATCGATCAACTCTTCGACGATACCTAGTTTGACAAAAGAACATGATAAAACTATGTATTTAACAAAATTGTTGATAGATGTGGTCAGTAGCGTTCGTTTCAGGGTTTATAATACAGATAGGATAGATAGATAGATAGATAATTACAGATAGATAATCAATAGACTGGAAGGATTTCCATGACGGTCGTCCTGAGTATTGAATCTAGGGGTTGATGCCTGGCTTGTCGCAGTGGAGGAGGAGTATCCACTCCCCATTGGTCCGGTAGATTTGAAACAAGGCGCCGACGAATACAGTGGGCGGATTCAACCTTTCAGTAAAGGAAAACATTATGAGTTTACAAGTACACCAAAAACCGTAACAAGAGAAATGGTGGTCAGAAGGATGATGAGAATACTATGGCGATTAGCCTGAATCGAGGGTACTTAGAAAATATAGATACCTACTCACGACAAGCTGCTAAGACAATTTTTTTCTCCCAGAATGTATCAGCACATATCTATAGATCTACCATTCATCCATGCTTAGAATATTGCAGGATGATTTGGTGTCCCTTGCTATTTACTAGATTCTAATAAATCAAAGAAGAATCTGCAATATTATTAGTACCGATCCGTCGGTGGCTTCAGTCACTTTAGACCGAAGACGGCTGCATTTTCATGGTAATTTTTTCGATTCTTCACCATAGACTTATGCCCCAATTTGCAGTTGAGTTAATTAGATCAAACGCCCATGTTAACAGTTTCTGGTACTCTCAAGCTGCCAGCTCCATGCTTTCCAGCCAACTGTAATCTTTCAAAAATTTATATGCAATGTTAATTGCTATCTACTGAACACTTTTTTTTTCTTTTCTTGCTAGTGTCCATGGATAACCCCTCAGTTTTAGTGGGCTTTAGTGCCTTGTTTGGGGTAAAATGACAAGAAGGGACAGGGTGCATGGCAGAACAGGGCTTAGCAGAGATTAAAAAAAAGGTGTAAGAGTTGCAAAGAAGGGAGAAACAGAGCCATGATAACCTTACATCCTAATAGGAAGAAGATATCTGTTTTTGGCCAATGAGGGCTGCCGGAATGGTGACCCTTCGTTTTTTGACGACAAATGCAATGGATAAACAGTCTTAGAAAGGGCAACTGAGTCTTCGATGAACTGACAGATTCTGACATTAAACGCACATCAGCTGAGAAAGATTTACGACCTTGTTTAAAAATCTATAATAGGCGGGAATTTATTTACCTCAGCAGCAGCAGAAGCAACAACAGCAGCAGCAACAGCCGCCTCTGCAGCAGCAACAACAACAGGAACAGCAGCAGCAGAAGCAGAAAATGCGGAAGCCTTGGAAGACCAGGAAGAACAGCGGGTGGGCAAAAAGCCAAACCTGCCAGTCCCAACAAAGGGCAAACCAAGAAACCTGCAGCCAACAGATGGAGGTGGGAAGAAATGCCTCTCCTAGTGCTTCCAAAGAGGAAGAGGCTTCAAAAACAAAACAGTACTGAGGTAGCAGGGTCCCAAGCCCTCCTGGCATCCCAGGACCAGGTGGAATCCCAGTTGAAAGTCGTCCCTCCTCCCCTTCTGGGGTTTCACCCCTCCACTTCAACCTCTTCCGTTGTTTCTGGTAACCACCCTACCTGGTACCTTCTACCCCTCTGCCCACACCTCCGCCTATCTCCCCTCTCCCAGATAAGAGAAAAAAAGAAGAGGGAAATTCTTTCCTGGGCCGGACCTCATTTGTAAGTGGCCGCGCGTACATTAAAGAAATTTAAGGAATTAATGTGAGTAAGGTCGTCTGGTGGCTTTGTCCCTGTATCCTGGGCATTGTGCTTTCTTGTTATGGTCCAAGTCATCGCAGTAATAGATATTTCTTGAGAATTTTTCTTGATCTGAAAAAATGGTTAAGTTGATGGGAGGGTCCTAATTGGTCCATCCCTCTGAGACGAGGGCTGCAATTGACATTTTTATGGATTTTGGCATTGTCCATCATTTTTGAATATTATTTCAGGCCGTGCCCATTCTTTTCGGTCCTTTCATGAAATATTTCACATGGCCCGTATGATAAAAAAACCTCCATTCTTCCCTTTTTTCGAGTCTTAAAAAAGGACCCAAGTTAACGAAAAAAAATGTTAGCCTGGTTGATCTGCTGCTCGGCGATTTTGGCCTCGTCGATAGATACCAGGCCGATCACCCCGGGGCGAAAGGTGTGGCCATGGGCACTTAGGTCATTGTCTACTAAGTGGTTATCTCAAGTTCCACTTGTTAGGCTATTTGGACAACAGTCTGTGCCCGGGTGGATGGATCCTAGAAGCTCAATCTGCCTTTACTGGACAAGCAGGACTTCCGGCAACAGCTAATTAGTTTAGTGCAGCGAGAACTATTGGGGGCGGTTATTAGGAATATGTGGTGGGAGAGGCTTAAGGATAGGATTAGGTCAGTCACCATCGAATATAGCCCGCTGCTCTCACTAGATAAGGCTAAAAAGGTGAAGAGTCACTTAAGGATAGTCTGTCCCGGGCGATGGATGGGGAGATTTCCTAGAGATAGGCCTAGCTAGGGAGGCCCGTATTCTGGGGTGAAACGAATGGTGATTTGGACGACGCGGACGGAGGAAATCTTGCGATGTGAATGCTATCCTCATCAGGATCTGGCCAGATTCTTTGAGTATCAGCTCAGGATGAAGATCAAAACTGATAGAAAGCGTTTGGTATCGTCATATTTCAGCGAAAGATGTATAAGTGCGAAAAGCCTGGTCCGCGTGAATGGGACTAGCCTTGATTTTCTTTTTAAAGTTCCGGCTGAAAAAGACAGAAAAGTAATGTACCAGAGCCTGATTTTGCAGGGGCTGGGTAAATTTTGTCCAGTGGCTCGGCTGGAAACGCTCTGGTGGAAACGCTCGAGTTTCCCACAGTAATCCCGACATTGTGTCACAACTCATCCCAGTGAGTGGACTGAGTAGATAGCAGTCGCATCGAAGTCAGGCAGTTTGCTGCCAGGCTTGCGTCAGACAAGACCGTCATCTTCGGGCAGAGGATGACTCAGTCGGGGGACTGAGTAGATACCAGTCGTATTAGAGTCTGTCTTCATACTAACTATACAGGAGTTTCGGCAATAGCCTAAGCATTACGTATAGAGAATACTTAACGAATTACGTTATACCAAGTACGAGTGTGTGTTATAACAATAACCTTACCATAAGGAAGTTATAATAATAATTATTATTATTCATGTACACCCTCTCTAATCTGGTTTCTGTTGAATGTCAATAACAGGGTAAGTTAGTTTTGACAGGAAGCGCTATTTAATGGCAACCATCTGTTTTGGTAGGCAAGTAAAATGAATTCAAAATATTGGTTGGTTTATATTCCGAGAATTACAGTATTCACATAAAATGAATCTTTTGACTTAAGTAAGGATAAACATTCCTCAAAATTACTCGCAAAATTACAAAACTTAATCACAGTTTTAGACATTATTATTATTAATAATAATAATAATAATAATAATAATAATAATTGAATAGGACAAATAAGCCTTGACGGTGAAAAATATGTAAGGAAGATGAAGGAGAATAGCAGTTCGCCGAAGAAGAAAACGAGCAAAGGATTATAAATAAAAAATAGCTTACATAATAAAACAGGCGGAATATTTTCGAATTATAAGACCTGGCATGATTTTATTTGTAAAAAGAAGGTGGTTCAAAGAATGTTGAGTAGTGTGCATAGATATTGCAAAGGAGGCCCGCTCCTCCATAAATTATTTTATTTCATGCACGCAATCTGCTCAGCTAAATCAGCCGTGGGTTCTCATGTTGATATGTGACAATTCACTCGCATTTCCGCTCTGCAATTTCAGAAATAAAAGCTATAATGTTGCCTGTTCAACATTATTTAACATCTAATCGGACTTCCTTCTTTACCTTCAAAAGATCTGCATATATCACAAGATCAGAACTTAAATGGCTTTGCATGTTCTATGCCCGGAAATGATCCAGCCAATTAATATTAAAGAAAAATGGCCGAGCTACGGTAATGCCACATTAATGATCTTTAAAGTACTTCATACCCTTATCTGTGTTTTTTCCACTTTTGAAAATTGTTTACAAATATGCATCAATTGCTTCATCCTGTTCTATTTAGTCTGAAAAACCCTCACTTTCAACAGCGATTTTTGCATTCGGAAATGCAATAAGTTTGAAATCTGGGCTGTGTATGTTATGGGTGATGCGTATTGTTTTGAGAAAAATTCTGCATGAGATATAAAAAAAATAAAAAATAGACACTCGAATTATTCAAAATGGATGGATACTTTGCTGGACAATCCGCGGAATCTTTCAATTTTAACCCTGAAAATCGCTAATTTTCATCGACAGCAACCTATGTGAATCCAATGCTTTTAAGTGTTTTGCTTGTTGATTCCGTCCATGTTTGAAGTGGGGCATATAGAATTTCATCTTAGCTTCTTTCATTGAATCATTCCCAAAAAAACTTAATAATTCAAATAGTCTCTGTGGATGAATGCCCATGTTTCAAGAAAAAACTTAATTCCTATTCGGTGTGCTCGCTACTTTAACACAGTACAAAAGCAGTCTTAATAGAGGCTCTTTCATGATTAACCCCATAGGAGAGTCTATCTTAACGGATGCAGAACAAGGTTTTCTCTGATTGGTTGTCAAGGTTAACAAAGCTGCGCAGTTAATTTTCAAGATATTTAAAACAGGTGAATGCTTTCTGGTCAGAACTCGTGTGTATTCTGTATTTGTATGTATGCATGCATATATATATATATATATATATATATATATATATATATATATATATATATTGTATATTTCGGCAGCAATCTTTCTTTCATGCACATTTCATTGAATACGACAGACAAGGTGCTTTTATTTAGTTTTTATACAATTTCCCATGCGATTTAATTTTTTTAGATGATAAATTATATAAAACTGTCCGAATGTTCTTTTTATCCGAGCGCTTTCGGCTATACATGTAGCCATTTTCAAGAATTAAATATTTTAACTGTTAAATAAGAAATAGTTTGTTGTATGTATGTGTTAATATAGTATTTTCATTTTTCAAAACACGAGCAATATATTGTGTCCATGTTCATAGTTAATATTATTAAGTGTTGTTTTTTTTAATGAGACAGGATTAATATGGAGAATAGCGAGAACTTGTAGAAGTTAATTATCGTTATATATTCAAAATTATGGGTGTTTTGGAGCTAACAATTAATAAGGTAAGACCTGTGTTCTCATATAAGTTTAAACCTATTTCTATGTCTACATTTTAACACTGGTTCGTTCCTTTGATTTAATAGTTAGCATTGAATATTGTATTTTATTATTCTAATTTTTCCTCTAAGTATAGGCGGGACCAATCTCTAAGGAGTATGAACAAAACCTATAATTCTCCAATAATTCTGAGGGTTCAGACCTTTTTCCTTCTGGTAAAAATAATATAAGAACATAGATATTTCCTTATTACTTATGGGGAGATTAAAGAAAGGAAAGGAGAGATGGAATAAGGGATAGTAGTAAAACTAAAATAGAATGACCTGGCCAAAAGATTTTCTCCTTAAAGTGCGGAACTTTGTACATATAATAATTATAACAATATCAAACATAACTAAAGGAATTTTAAATAAAGAGTAATAAAAGCTAAACAATAAAAATAAAAATAAATATCTTAAGTAAGATGATGTATGGATAATAATACTAAAGGTGTTAATTTAGAATTATAGATGTTGTATACATCGCCAAGACAATCATAGATCCAACTACATATAAAAAATACGTGATACGCAAAATAATCTCACACACACACACACACACACACACACACACACACACATATATATATATATATATATATATATATATATATAGCATAATGAGAAGCCACGTATACTTTCTTAATATGTATATATAGAAAAAGTTTCAAATTGAAAATTATAATGTTTTATTTTATGAAAGTATTTATTTATTTATATATATATTTGATATTTCAAATTGTCCTCAATTTTCATCAGAAATAACTGTTTGTTACAAATAAAAATAAAATTACTGTTTGTTAGCAAGTAGCGTCCTTCGCGAGACGCGGACGTCACGTGATATGCAACGTCACTGTTCGGATATTCCTAACTTAAATCTAACTGTCATAAATATTTAAAACAATTTTTTACTATATCTAAAAAAAAAAAAAAATTGCTTAACTATTGAAATATTTATAAAGATTTAAAACACCTAAGTCCCTATTCAACCCTAGTTTATGTGTATTTAATTTTAAAATCCAATATGTTTCTTTTTTTCTGCGTGTGAATGTTGAAGTAAAATCGGAATCTATTAATAAACATTTGCAGTTTTCTAATGTGTGTCCTGATTGATTGTAGTGTTTAGCTATGGGGGAATAAGGGTTGTTTTGACGAACAGTGACGTTGCATATCACGTGACGTCCGCGTCTCGCGAAGGACGCTACTTGCTAACAAACAGTAATTTTAATTTATTTGTAACAAACAGTTATTTCTGATGAAAAATTGAGGATAATTTGAAATATCAAATATATATATAAATAAATAAATACTTTCGAATCAGCACTTCAAGTAAAGTTTTTAGGAAATTTCCAAAAGGTAAAGTTTTTAGGAAATTTCCAAAAGGTAAAGTTTTTAGGAAATTTTAAACCTGTTTTATGTCTACACTTGAAAATAAGTTTGTTTCTTTGATTCAATAACTTCT